TTTTTTTTTTTTTTTTTTTTTTTTTTTTTGGATGAAGGTCATCCCAGCACCAGCAAACGACTCTTTCTCCCTCACAGCTGGGAGTCTTTCTTAGCCTCCAGAATACAATGGCTCCTTCAGGCTTCAGGGACAGCCATGATTAATTACATGGTTTATTTCTATAGATTTTTTTCATTATAAAGTAATTCATGATTGCTACTGCCCAAAACGAACGAGTACTGAGAAGTAAAAAGTTGAACCTTCCTGTCTCTGTCTAGAATAACTCATAGTTATTATCACTGCTTTACAATTTTCCAGATTTCTTTTCAAATACGCTTTTCAGTACATGTGTGTGCACAAATGCAGACACATATCTCCAACACAAATGGAATCATTTGCTTTTTCATTTAATGAATCTTGCACCGATTTTCTATCTTATGTACATAGATTATTTCAGTGGCTGCATAGTGTTCCATAATAGAGATGGACTGTGAATTGTGTAGCCAATCTCCTGCTGCCAGACATTATTTTTGTTGGCTGTCATAGTCGAGGAATGCATTTTAAAAGACAGCATCACCGTGTGCTTTCCTGTCACCAGGCCCCAACTATCTTGTTTTAATTTTTGCGCCATCTTGGGAAAAAAAGTGGATATTTTATTCTCATTTTCTTAATTTGTTAGTGGTACATTTTAATGAAAAGAACCCAATGCTGGGAGGGGCTGGAAACATGCAGTTTCCATTTCAAATCCTCTGACCTTGAGCAACGCACCTAAACAATGGCAACCTGAGAGCCTTCACCTGTCAAATGTTGACCTGACTCTGTGTGACCCAGTGAGGAAGAGCCAGAGTGAGCAGCCCTGGAGGGTGACAGGCAGTACCTGCATGCCCCTGCCTCTCAGAGCCTCTCAGAGCCTCGACTCCCCTTCCTCTCCTGGCTGACTCGCCAAGCAGCAGGGTCACAGGCACCTGTTCCCTCTTTTCTTCCTGACTTTGGTGTCTCTCTCTGTGACCAGTCACTCAGAAAGGAGGTTCATCTGCTGTTTGCCAAATCCAAAGAGGCCGTTTATTTTGGAAAAAATAATTTCCCAAATTAGGACAAAGTCTTTATTGAAAACTAGCTCCGAGGACATAGAAGGGCCATTTGTGCCTCAAATCACCATCTCTTCATCTGCAGGCATGTAGGGGTCTTTTATAGCAAGGAACCAAGGGGTGGGGACCCTGCACATCTCAGAAGCTTGCTGTATGGCTCCCAGCACCTGCAGCTCCTCTCCCTATCTTGGGGAAAGGACATGGGGTGGACACTGGGGCTGACACCTGCTTATTCCATCACTTCATCTGGGCTGAGAACAGGACTGGGTATTGGTTATGTGCTCAGTAGGAAGAAGTTAGAGAAGCCTCCGATCTGATCTTTAAAAGAAAATAATCTAACTTGTAAAATTCAATTTTGTCTCACTGTTTATATGTCCATTGGCATCTTCAACCTCGGGCTGTCTTCTGGCTCTTTCAGAGGGATCTGCCCGCACGGATTCAGAGAAAGGTGAGTAAATGCTGTGAGGTGGACACAGAACGGGAAGCAGCTGCTAGTCTCAACCTCTGATGAGCAGAATCTTCCCCCTGCCTTCCGTGTCTCCCGCAGTGAACACAGAAGAGCTGTAGGAAGCTGCAGTTGGTTTTAAACAGCCTTCCCATGGTCCGGCCAGGCGACAATAGATGCAGTATCTCCAGCAGGCAGAAAGACAAAGAAGAAAAGATTAAAAGGGAAAAGATCTCCTGGATGGTGAGGCGGGAAGATATCCCTAGAGGTTCCAGCGGGGAGCAGGCAGTCTTTTCCTATGGCCCTTCCACTGGAATGGGGAGGGGATAGGACGGATGGAGGAGGCGACACCCGGGTACTTGGGCTCCAGGGACCCTCCAGATCCCACACTGCATATCAGCAACCCTGCTCTCCTGCCGCCCTGGGGAAAGCCAGGGCCCCTCGAGCTCCTTTTCTTCCTCACTCCCCTCATTCCCAAATCCAGGTGCAATTCGAGATCTGTTAGTGTCCTTTGGCTGCCACAACAAACTGCCACAAACTTGGAGCCTAATCTGGCAGAAAGTTGTTCTCCCCTAGTTCTAGAGACCAGAAGTCTAAAATCAAGGGGTGAACAGTGCTGGTTCCTTCAGGGAGCACTGGGGGAGATTCCATCCTGTGACTCTGTCCCAACCAGAAATCCTGGGCAATCTTTGGCTTACAACTCCATCAACACAACCTCTGTCCCTGTCTTCGTGTGGCCTTCGCCTCAGTGTCTCTCTGAGTAACAAATCTCCTTTCTTCTCTGAAAAGGACACCAATCATTGCGCTTAGGATCTACCCTAAACCCAACATGATCTCATCTTCAGATCCTTAATTATATCTCCTAAAACCCTCTTTCTAAATTATGTCACAGAAACTGGAGTTCAAACTTGAACACATCTTTTAGGAGGGGCATAATTCAACCCACTACATTGAAGTGCAATGATTCTAGGTCTGTCTGACTGGGTAGACAAAACTTCTGTCATTGTTCTGTGAGAAAAAAAAAAATACAACCTTATCTTCCGTAAATTAGGACTTGATAGTGTCAGCTGGGCACAAAACCAGAGTGGGACAGTGTGATCTCCATCTTCACCTTTACCTTCTGGCCTTCACCTTTATCTCATTCATGTGATTGGTCTGATGGACTTTTATGTGGGTGGACGGATTTACCTTTCGCCCTCTTTGATCTTTTACTAACCCTTTTGGCATCTGTTTGCTCTTTGAAAGATGATTGCAGTACAAAGCCCTGTCTACACCCTGCAGGTCCCTGCAAACATTGAACTGCAGCCCTGAGCTGAATGGCTGCTGCTGCCGGCAGGGACTGCACTCCATAAATCCGCATCATGACGAAGGGTGACTCCTGGGTCATCCATTCATCATGACACAGAAGGCTGCCGCTGATTCTCCACTGTAACAGGACCTCACAAACGGGTCGGTGTTTTAATTAACAAGACAGCACGGCTTACTTGTCTGATGAGCGCTAATGAACTTTAAACACTTCATCATATTTTAGAGAGAATGACCTGACTGAATAGGACCAGGGAGTAATCGTGAAATATCCCTCAAAGTGGCAACAGTAAGAACATGTATGTTGCAAAAAAGAAAATGTGTTCAGTTCCTGGGTGCAAATGAAATGCAAGGAAATTCGTTCTCATGGATGAGCAAGTCTGGGAGGGGTAAAGATCTACACACAAGCTCTGCAGTGACTGCTGGAGCAGAACATTGATTTCCTCGTTGATGAATGTTTTTTGAAAAATTAAGACTCAGCAATGATTTAATAAGCTGAGTCCTTCAGAGCAGAAGAAATAATGAACCCTGAACCTCAATCATCAAACAGCAGCTACCCAGATCAAATCAACTGATGAGCACCATTTTTGCTGATTTTTAAAAATTTCTTCTGATGTAATTTGATTTTTCCTTGGTAAGGGTAATTTATGTTATTGATGTGGACAACTTAGGGTGTAGTGGAGCACTTGGTTCTAGGGAGGCAGACAGAAAACCTCTGGTGGAAGTGGGAAGCCACACAGTTCCTGGCTGTGGGACAGAATGCCCAGAACTCACACGAAGGGGGACGCAGCCCTGATAATAGCTGAGAGGAATCTGTGGGTGAGGAGCCATCCAGAGATTGCCCGAAGTTGTGGGGACAGGGTCTGAGGTAAAATGGGTCCCAAGTCCTAATTTGGAGTGGCACTGGGCCGTCCCTCACCACTCCAGTGCCCTCCCTGCCAGAAGCCTCTCTTCCCCCATCATGCTGACCCCGTCCATGCGTTAGCCACAGCCCCTGAGCCCCTTTCAGGGCTTTGAAACGGTGGATATGAAGTGACAGTGACCACTACAACAAGTGCTTTCTCCATTCCTCAGCCCAGCAGCTCCCAGGCCCCACCGTTCCCCTCAGGAAGCCTGGGGTCCTGTGGGGCCCTGCCAATTTCTCTAGGGACAGCACTGAGAGAACAGAAGCAAAGGGAAGAGGTGTGGCCTGGCTCTTCTTCCCACAAAGGCCTCAGGGCTTGCAGAGGATGCCTCCCTCAGCTCCTCTGCCGTAACCAAGCACCACATATCCCAGGACGGCAGTGTGGAGATTTATTTCCTTACAGTCCTAGGGTCACAAAGTCTGAATCACGTGTGGCCTAGACTGGTTTCTCCTGAGCTTGCAGAGGGCTGTGTCTTCCTGTAGTCCCCTCAGAGTATGTCTGTGGTCTAATCTCCCGCTATGAGGACACCAGTCCTTTTGGACCAGGGCCTGTCCTAATGACCATATTTTATCTTGACCACCTGTTCAAAGGCCCCCACCTCCACATACTTCCCTTTCCAAGCTCCTAGGGGTTGGCCTTCAGCACAGGAATTTTGGCTCCTGCTCTTCCCTCAGAGTTCTGCTGTGTGGCCCTCAGCCCTGCAGGCTTCTCATCTGTCTCTGCGGCTCCCCTCTGTCTGACTCCACTGCTCCAACTGCTCATCCACAGCACCTTCTCCAGCCAGCTTACCCCAGGGGCTGGGATCCTCAGGCACCTGCACGCACGCGCGCGCGTGCACACACACACACACACACACACACACACACACACGTGCATGGCACCTTGCTAGGATGTCACCAGGAAGGCTTCAAGGAGGTCCCCTCTATGGGGCCAATCGACTCTTAACAGGAAAAGGATTTCAGGACACATCAGGGAAAGACAACACCAGATTTATTAAGTGGAGTTGATTAAGTGCAGGCTGAGAAAGAAAATAAACTGGGTGCTCAGTGGAAATGCACTGTGGTCTGGGGTTGGAAGGATGTGCTTGATATCGGAGATAACCTTAAGATAAGACAGATCATCTATAAGATTCTTAAAAACGTTTTGCCTAAAGACATTCTTGAACCCTTCAAACCTGTTTCTTTATTTTAAGGTCGTGTTGCTGCCCTTCACCTTATTGGCTAGGCTCACTCTTGGATTTAGGGTATCTCTAAGGGGTCAGGGTGTGGTGGATCTGGAAGGAACAGAAGACAGGCCTAGTGAGTATGGATGTGGAGTATAGACAGACATGGGCAACCTTGAGAGAATTTGATCACAGTGGTTTCCTTGTCTCCTGTCTACCTGTCCTAACTTCTATCCTACCCCAGAAATATGGGTGTGGGGGATACAGGTTGCTGTGACAACCCCCCCCCGCCCCACCAGGACTCTTCATGCCCAGTCCCTTCAGCCCAGCCCTCCCTCCTCCGGAGCCCAGAACCATTGCTCGGGTCCCCACCAGGCACCCGCTCCTGGCTCCAAACATCAGACGAGATGCTCTGTGACTTTTTAATTCGTCTGTTGCAGAAACATGCACAGGATTCTGGGTCTGTGCCAGGCACCAAGGTGGCCAAGGGTTGGGGACAATGGAGTCCCAAGAACCCTGTCACCAGCAGGCCACCCTTTCGAATACTGATTCGTCCAGGCTGAGTGCTTCTTCATATGGGCACTGTAATCTGCGTGTGACTCTGGGTTGTCTCATGAAGCCTGGGCTAGGAGCTTCAGTGCACCCTGCCTGAAGCCTTCCTCTGCCTTCAGCACAGAGAAGAAGTCTGCCAGGAGACAGTGCCCAGCCTGCAGCCCCCGAGCCCCATTCTGTCTCCTTAACAGTGGGGTGACTTGTTCATTCACTCCCACCCCCCCCCCCACA